CTCTCCTTGGGATGTTAAGAGAGCATTCACTTGGCTGACAGTTGGGCAGCATTCTATGGGTTACCTATTTTACTTTGTCCTGTCTAAATGTCCTGTTAGTTTAACAATAAATACGTTGCATACTAGGATCTTCAGTGAGTTCTTTGCCTAGAGAACTATAGCTGTAACATTGGCCTTTAAGGGTGGGGTGTTAAAGCAACAGAAAAAAAATTGGATGATCCTCAGGGTTGCAAGAGGGAAATGAAGAATCTCCCTTCCCAAGAAAGAGATCTCACAGTGACAATATATCAGATGAATAACTTTCTTTGCTTACTACTTGTAACCACAAAAAAAGAGGTGCTGAGAATAATTTTAAACAATTACTGTGAGAGAAATCTACAAATGTACCCAACATTCTTTTAATTCTTCAGTATATTTGTCTGAAACTCACCTTAAGGCATCTCCCAAATCTTATATAACTACTTTTTAAACAAACAGTGGTTGCTTGAATCCCCTTATCGGGATTTTTGATCCACCCATGCGGTGTCACTATTCCAATACCTGTTCCACTACCTGTGCTGCTCTGTGGCTATGTCAAGGCTTGCTATAGAGTCTGCAAAATTCTGTATGACATAGATTTAGTATTGCTGAATAAGGTCTCTAATATATGTAACTTGTTTCTTTTTTGTTAGGAATTATTAATCCTAGTGTATCAATTGTAAAATCACCTTTTTTGCTTAATAATTGTACAACATTTAAACTTTGATGCAATATCTCTAACAATGTATTTTTCAGACACATTTTTTTTGCTATAAAATCAAAAAAAAGTCTAAATTATTATAAATAATGGCAAATAACTTCTTGCCACTTTCTGTGTAGCGTTTAGAGAAATGGAGGACAATACTTGTTTAAGAAAGATAACATTTATGTCCTCACACAAACTCTCAGGCAGGTTGCTAGTGGTTAGTCTAATTCCTGGCCTATTACCATTGAAGGGGTAATTTAAGGAGGAATTCAAATTATCCTAGGTGAAGTATACTTGAGTCAACTGAAGTGGAGAATGATGCAATGAATGCAAACAATGTTGACTTCATAAGCAATCCCTCCCTCCAGCTGCATCTCTGAGGGGACCTCGAGGTAATATAGAGTAGGTATATGTTGAGGAACAAATAAGCTGTCAGTATTTCATATAGATGTCATTAGTAAGCCATCTGAGGAAAGAGCAATACAAGATATTTTTATAACAGCAATGCCCATATTTTTCTGTTAAGGTATGAGTGACTCTGTAAAACAAGGATTACACAGGTGTGAACCCAATCGCTATCAACATCTATAATTTCTATATGTACAATCAAGCCATCTCTTAGGGAACTTAGTCCTATAGCAGAATCCCGCAGGCATCAGTAGAAATCCCATGATTTCAAGATTGGGCCTATAGCTAATAACTCAAGCAACAGTTTAACACTCTTTTCAGTGACATAGAATCACTACAGCATCATTCCAAATGGTTACATGATAAAATCAGAATTGTCACGTGTCTCACGCATGGCACAAGAGCCATGCATGCCCATCCATCCACTGTCCATACTGAATGTCATGCATTTGGCTGTGAGGCAGGAATGGCTTGCAATTGCAGTCTCATAGCCTATTGAGCTGCACTCCAGTGGCCTCTTTCTCATTACTTCATTTGTTAGATTTGAGCTGCAAAAGAGCAGCACCACAAATGGTGGCAGGGACAGAAGATAGTGGAGGACCTCTACTGGCCTCAGGCTCCCTCACTCAGCAATAAGCTGTCCCCTACAGATATTCCCATTTATCTAGCCCTTTGACACCCTCCAGCTCCTACAACACTTCCCTACTCACTTTCTCCGTGACATTCATGATTTCATAGACCTCTATCATAATCCCCTCTTAGTCGTCTCTTTTCCAAGCTGTGATGCTTCTGAGGGAAATCTTTGTAAAGCTCAGAATTTTGTTGAGCGCTACCAAATATATTGTGAAATCACTGACAGTGGCCTTCTGCCAATTTCTAACACAGAAAGAGGAGGCCCAAACTCAAACTTCCCTCGAGCCAACAATTGTCGAGAAGAAGGAATTCTTTAAAATCATCATTACATCATGACACTTTTTCCCATAGAGTTTTTTTATATTATGTTTTTACTTCAAGAACAGAATTTACAATCAGACAATTAATACGAAAATTAATCAAAGGAAAATGAATGATATATTAGTGGGTGCTGATTCCTGAAAAACTTATGGTCAAATTCATCCTGAATGTAACAGCATGGACTTCACTGGAATTATATCTGGGGTGAATTTAGCCCATCGTCAGTAATACATACTAAAGGGTTGTACACTTTGTTGCTTCTATAAGCTGAGCACATTACACACAGCAGGACTCCTTTCATTTCTCCTTTTTCCTCATCAGCTCCCTGTGTGCTATCCTCCCATCTTCTTCTGTTTCAGAGACTCCCTGCAAGCCCCCACCCATTCTCTCCCCCGTGTCCTCCTCTCCTACGGTGACCAGACAGCAACTGTGAAAAATCGGGAGAGGGGGTGGGGGGTAATAGGAGCCTCTATAAGAAAAAGACCCCAAAATCGGGACTGTCCCTATAAAATCGGGACAGCTGGTCACCCTATCCTCTCTCCATGCCAGGTTCACCCCTTCTTTCCCCATCATACCGGTTGGGACACAAAGCCCCATCTACCCCTTTCTGCTTCCCTCCCATACCCTCACATTCTACCCCTGCCAGGGGCTGTGCACTGTGTGCCCACTTCCTCCTATGTCAGGGTCTTCTATTCTCCCTCATTTCCAAGGGCTGTGTGGCTCCCCATTCTTTCTACTCCCCTTTCCCCATCATTCTTATTTCTTCCCTTTCTGCTTGGGAGAAAAGTCATTCACCCTTTAAACTCTATTGGGAGGATGGGCAGAGCTGAAATGGGGTGATGGTAAAGTTGTTTAATGGTTGTCATCACCTGGTCCTTTGATCTATAGACAGTTACAGACCTGGTTGAAGCTGCTGGGTCTACTAACTCGATGCTAGGAGCTCTGCACTTTCCGCTTCCAGTTTTCTGACTTTCACCAGAATCAATAGGGTTCTACTCATTGACACCTAGAACATTCCCTGAAATGTTGAAATTGAATAGATGTGGCATTCAAAAGCTACCACATTACGTCCAACCAGCCAGAGAAATGTCATCAAGTTGAATATAGGTCCTTGGTTTGCTCAGCCAACAGTGGGCCAAATTAAATTATGACTTTGAGAAAGGTTGTGATTGGGTCAGAAAAGGGGTGGAAATAGTAACAATACAAACATAATTTAGAAATTGCTATACTGGATCAGGCAGTGGCCAGTTTAGTCCAGTGTCTCGTCTCTGACGGTGGCCAGTACCCGACACTTCAGCAGAAGATGTCCTGACCAGGCATTCACTGAATTACCTGCCGTTTGGGAAAATTTCTTTCTAACCAGTTAGAGGTTGGCTTTTATCATAAAGTGTAAAGATTAATAGTCCACATTTCCTAACTTTAAATGTTCTCCTCATCCATTCTAACATCCAATCCATTTTTGAATCCAGCTAAACTCTTGGCCTCAATGTTTTCTAATGGAAGAGAGTTGCACAGGCTAACTGTGCATTGTGGAAAAGTTAGAACTCATCAGACATGAACTGGTCATCCATATTCCTTTGTACTAATCAGGTCAATGTTCTCCGTTGGTAGCCATTGCATACTGCTATCTGATTTCAATTTTGAGGGCATGTCACAGCCGTATGTTATCAGTTCATTTGGTGTATGATCAATGAGTGAATCTCCATTTTTCCCCCCTCCCAGGTGAAGGGTGAGAGTGGGAGAATGAAAGAAGCAGAAAATTTGCTCCTTTGGTCTAACACTTTGTTAGAGGGAATGGTTTCAGCCAACACAGGACCACAAACATGCCAAATACCATAGAAACCTCTAGACAGGATCTCTGTGCAATTGGGGCTCTGTGGTTTTGGACAGGTGCGCAGGGAGCCAGGCAAGGGGACTGCTGCTCTCTGTAGTATCATTCCCTTTCAAATCTGTAGTAATTTCCCTGTAAAAGACAATTCTGACAGTCCGTATTACCTTACTTTACACAGATTTCTACTTGCGGGAGGTGGCTTGAGCCTGTAATACCTTTTCCAGTGTCTTTCATTCCTGAGGCTTAATTGAAAACACTATTGTGGATATGTAACTTTTCTTCTCCAACATAGGCAAATGGCAGGGCAAAAAGGGAGTGCAAGGAATCCCTGTGAAGAGGCCTCCTTCCCTGGTTTCTCCAAAGATGCACCTGGCTGTACATGTGCAGAAAGAGAGCAAGCCCTAGATTATAGGTAAAAGCTCATTTTTTCCAGTGCTTTTACAAACCTGCCAACTTTCAGGGGAGGCAGAGATGAATGAGGTTTAGGAGCTAGAGCAGGGCCTGGGAACAGAGAAGCTGGGGGCTATGCCTAGCTGGCCACTGACTGTGGGGTCCTGTGTCTTACTCATTTGTCCACTTCAGGCAGGAGTGGGGGAGGCAAAGGAGTGATTCTGCAACCCGGATTGGGTGAGTAAAGAGGCTCGCAGGATCGGGCCCTTACTGGGGGTGGGGGTGAAGTGCGGTACCAAGCGCACCGTTGGGTAGCCAGGGCTGGTTGGTTTCCCTCCTGAGCTGGGTCTGTTTGCCTCTGGGACCCGGGGCCCCCTCCTGCTCCCTCTGCCTGTCAGGGACTTTTCGCAGTGTTTCAATGAGCCCTGGAACAACTCTCGGCTGTCCTGACTCCTGGCCGGGCGCCGCCGCTGGGAGCAGCCCCCAGCCCTGCGCCTCCGGGGGTGGGGGGCGGCTTGTTCCTTTAGCTGCCGCGCGGCTGGGGCCGCTCGCCTCCCTCCCTACTGCCCTGTGGGGCCGGCGGGGGAGCCGGGACAGAGCCCCCCTGCTCGGAGCCCCGCTCGTCTGCTGCTGCCGGGGGGCGGAGGGGAGCGGGCGGGAGGTGGAGACGGAGGAGGGGTGAGACTTGAGGGGCCGGTCCCGGGAAGTGCTACGTGTCTCCCAAGTCTTTATACCGCCTTGCCCCCAGCAAGTCGCCAGTCCTTGGAGCGCCGCCTGCCTAGTCCCCCGCCGCCAGCGAGCAGCGCCAGCAACATGTCCGGGAGCAAGAAGCAGACGACGGTAGGACGCCGCTTAGCGCCCGCCCCCTCCCCGCTCTCGGAGCCAGTGCGCTCTGCGCCTCCGGGGGACGCGGAGCCTTTGCTGCCGCCCGGTCGCTCGCAGCCTCCCCCGGCGCCGCGCTGGGTCCCGCCCTCCCTGCGCCGCTGCCAGGCACCCGGCTTGGCGTTCCCGGCTGCGCCCTGGGAGCGCGACCCCCAGAAAGCGGGACTGGCTGCAGGGACCCTCCCCGAGCAGACCTGCCCGCCGCCCAGAGGGATGCCTGGCCCTGGGTCACCGGGCATCAGGGGGACCGTCTGGTTGGGCCGGGACCTTGCTGTGAGGGGGCTTGTTAAGCGCGTGGGGATTGTGAAATTCCTGCCGCTCGCAGAGGAGAGGAGGGGGCAGGACGCGTGTCTACACTGAAGCGTTTGAAGGGAGCAGCTAGGAGGAGTTAGGGGGTTAAGAGCTGTGGGATTCCCCTCTGCGCCGTCTCTGTAGTTAACGTGGGACTGGCTCCTCACTTGAGTCCGGCAGGCAGCCGTACAGCAAACTGGATCTAGTCAATTTACTGCCCAACTATCTGCCCCGGTTGGACACCTGAGCCAGGGGGCTGGCGGTGGGGACAGGGGCGCTGGAACAATTTGTATGTGGGGGTCCTGAGTAGGGTGACCAGATGTCCCGATTTTATAGGGACAGTCCTAATTTTTGGTTCTTTTTCTTATATAGACTCCTATTACTCCCCAACCCCGTCCCAATTTTTCACACTTGCTGTCTGGTCATCCTAGTCCTGAGAGCCATTTCACCAAACTGTAAACCCTGTATATGATAGAAACCATTTCAAGCCGGAGGGTGCTGCAGCACCCCCAGCCCCCGTAGTTCCAGTGCCTGTGCTGAAGAACACTGTGCCATGGCAGAACTGAACGTGTGCTTTGCCTCCTCTGGCCAAAGACACTTGTTAGGATTTAGGCCACAGATTTTGTGGTGTTAAAGTCAATAGAAACACATAATCTGATTTTGTTTTTTATTTTCACTTTATCCTCACATGATTTTCTTTTAAATTTGAATCATGTCTCTGTTAGACCAGTGATGCAAACTTTCAACTTTTAATTTTAGCATTTGACCCTCACTTTTTTTTTTGCATGTAGGAGATGGCTAGAGGATAAACCAATTACAAAGCTTTATTCTCTTGTATGCCTTGGATATTTACCAGTGTAATTAAAAAGGTAGCCTCTCTTGATAGGTGGGAGTATTTGAGGATCCGTTCATGAAGAAATTAAAGCTACAGTGGAATTTGTTAATGCCAATAAAAGAACAGCTATTTTTCTAGCTATTGTAACAATTTGATTTGCAATTAATAGGAAGAAAATCCCTGTTGGGAGTGCCAGTTTATTGGCCACTAGGAAAAGTGGCCAATGTTAGTGGTTGATGATTAGCATAGTTTCCTCTATATTGGTTTTTAAAATTATACCACTTTAATTATGAGTGATTCCATAAAATATACCTTAACCTTGCTTAATTATTCTCTATGTTGTTTTGGACAAATTCCACCTACCTCATTATATACATTTCTCATTTAGTCAAACCCCTGAAGTTTCCCAGCCCATCTCAAAGCACAACTATCTTTTATAATACATTCACTAATTAATTCTCAGAAGACCTTTATATTCTGCAGAAGGAGTAGAGCAATCCAGATGACCTGCATCATGGCTGTTATTCCCCAGGCTAGAAGGGAGTACTTTGGGGGTAGCATACTTTACGCTTGAAGAGTTGAGGTGCTTTAAAAATGTCATGTGAGATGCAACTTAAGTTATCACTTTCAGTCTTGCTTAGCTTGAAAAATAGTAGCTCATCATCGGACTTTGAAGCTGTGAGAATGTATGGAAAAACTGGAGGGATAATAATACAAGCACATTTAACCTTCAGAGCTCCATATGAAAATTAGCCAGTCTTCACAACAATTGTATGGTAGGTAATCAAGTATTATCCACATTTTACAGACTAGGGAAAATGGAACAAAGTTAAATGACTTGCCCGATATTACACAGTGAGTCAATAGCAGAGATGGGATTAGAACCCAGGAGTCTGGGATTATATTAATCAGTTATCATACTGCCTCTGTGCAAATCTTCAGTGCTTTTACAAGGTCACCGACACAAAACTTCTCCCTTTCTACATTCTTCCAGAACTGTAGAAAGGAAAAACAAATGTAAACAAGCTATAAACCAATAAATTATGCTATAGTACAGTACACTTGGGCAGAGGCCGGTTCTGTGAAATGATTGTCCAAATGCTGTTCTGCATTAATATTTGATACCCTGGTTACAATACAGCCAAGAGGGTAAGGATTTGAAAGAAATGATCTTTCTTAAAATTGATCATCGAAGAAAACCTTTGTATCTCATTGACTTCCATTGTAAAATCAATGATGACTACAGCCTTATTAGAAAAGGGTAAGGCAGTCTGACAAGTCTTGGGGTTGTTGGCATTGGAGTCAATAAAGCTACACTGATTTATACTAGCCAAGGATCTGGCCCTGTGCATGCAATAAATTGTAATAATTTGTGTGTTAGCATTGGACACAATAGTAAGGAAAAGTGAGGATCAAGGACAGCAGTTTAAAAGTAGAAAGGGAAAAAAAAGAATGTTCCCTGCTTTTAATCTATGGGCTCTTTGGGATAGCTCAGTGGTTTGAGCATTGGTCTGCTAAACCCAGGGTTCAATCCCTAAGGGGGCCAGTTGGGGATTGGTCCTGCTTTGAGCAGGGGGTTGCACTAAATGACCTCCTAAGGTCCCTTCCAACCCTAATATTCTATGAACTCCATACTTTTGGGGAGGAGGGATAGCTCAGTGGTTTGAGCATTGGCCTGCTGGACCCAGGGTTGTGGGTTCAATCCTTTAGGAGGCCACCTACGGATCTGGGGCAAAAGTCAGTACTTGGTCCTGCTAGTGAAGGCAGGGGGTTGGACTCGATGACCTTTTAAGGTCCCTTCCAGTTCTAGGAGACAGGATGAACCTGATTCTGAGAAGTGTTGGCAGCCACAGCTCCTACTAAAATCACTTGGGAGTTGCATTTCTCTTTGCCAGGTCACAGTAGTAGAAGGAAGGAAGAGGGACTTGGTTGGAAAGAACCTAAAAGCAAGGCAATTCTGTATATTTTATATATGGAAATAATAATATATGTGTGTGTGTCTATATCTATAGAGATACAGATAGAGTAGTATATAGCTATCTATAATCTAGTCAGTTATTCTTAACACACATTGAGAATGCAACAGTGGTTGAGCAGAGGGAGTTTAGAATGATTGATTAAATAATCCCAAGACATTCACATACAAAAACTAGATGTACACTGTCAAATAGGTGCTCTCAGTAGTTCCAAGTTCATTGATAAGGAATGTAATTGGAACTGGTGTGACTGCTGCTAGAATATTGTGTCCAGTTCTGGTGTCCACAATTCAGGAAGGATGTTGATGAAGTGGAGAAGAGCCATGAGAATGATTAAAGGATTAGAAAATATAGAATCATAGAATATCAGGGTTGGAAGGGACCTCAGGAGGTCATCTAGTCCAACCCCCTGCTCAAAGCAGGACCAATTCCCAACTAAATCATCCCAGCCAGGGCTTTGTCAAGCCGGGCCTTAAAAACATCCAAGGAAGGAGACTCCACCACCTCCCTAGGTAATGCATTCCAGTGCTTCACCACCCTCCTAGTGAAATAGTGTTTTCTAATATCCAACCTAGACCTCCCCCCACTGCAACTTGAGACCATTGCTCCTTGTTCTGTCATCTGCCACCATTGAGAACAGCCGAGTTCCATCCTCTTTGGAACCCCCCTTCAAGTAGTTGAAGGCTGCTATCAAATCCCCCCTCATTCTTCTCTTCTGGAGACTAAACAATCCCAGTTCCCTCAGCCTCTCCTCATAAGTCATGCGCTCCAGACCCCTAATCATTTTTGTTGCCCTCCGCTGGACTCTTTCCAATTTTTCCACATCCTTCTTGTAGTGTGGGGCCCAAAACTGGACACAGTACTCCAGATGAGGCCTCACCAATGTCGAATAAAGGGGAACGATCACGTCCCTCGATCTGCTGGCAATCCCCCTACTTATACAGCCCAAAATGCCGTTAGCCTTCTTGGCAACAAGAGCACACTGTTGACTCATATCCAGCTTCTCGTCCACTGTGACCCCTGGGTCCTTTTCTGCAGTACTGCTACCTAGCCATTCGGTCCCTAGTCTGTAGCTGTGCATGGGATTCTTCCGTCCTAAGTGCAGGACTCTGCACTTGTCCTTGTTGAACCTCATCAGGTTTCTTTTGGCCCAATCCTCTAATTTGTCTAGGTCCCTCTGTATCCGATCCCTACCCTCTAGTGTATCTACCACGCCTCCTAGTTTAGTGTCATCGGCAAACTTGCTGAGAGTGCAGTCCACACCATCCTCCAGATCATTAATAAAGATATTAAACAAAACCGGCCCCAGGACCGACCCTTGGTCCGCTTGAAACTGGCTGCCAACTAGACATGGAGCCATTGATCACTACCCGTTGAGCCCGACGATCTAGCCAGCTTTCTATCCACCCTCCCGGGGCTTGCTGCCCTGCCCCCGGCGCTCTGGCGCTCTGGCCCCGGCGCTCTGGCCGCCGGGGGGAGAGAGGAGCCCCTGCCGGGGCTCGCCGCCCTCCTCCCAGAGCTCCGGCCACCCTCCCCCCGGCCGCAGCGGGGAGAGCGGAGCCCCTGCCGGGGCTCACTGCCCTCCCCCCGGGCTCCGGCCGCCCTCCCCCCCCCCGTGGGGGGGAGGGGCGGCCGGAGGCTTTTTTGCTTCGGGCGGCAAAAAAGCCAGAGCCGGCCCTGTCGAGAGGTCATAGAGTCCAGTCCCCTGCCCGCATGGCAGGACCAAATAC